GACTTCTTTCTGACCCCAGTCTTCTTCACAATATCTCCACCGCACTGAATCATCTTACTAACCAATCGTTCTGGATGGCCATTGTGTGTGAAGACAGTACGTAAGAACCGGATCTCAAACAGACGTCTAGAAATGCTAATTTGTCGTTTTCCATTTCTAAATTAAATATTATGTTCTGGTGAGCAGCATTCACTAAAGTCACTCACTAGTGCAGTAGTTTCACACCTAGTTGAAACAAACCACACTGTGAAGGTGACCGAGGCATTCGGTCCCTTGTATCGGGTTCGTGGTCGATTATCAAGGCAGGTTCGCTGTCATATGCTAGCCACAGCGGAAGCGGTAGGAATTCGGCTGCACCACCCTACACCCCCTTTGTGTCCCCAAAATCAATTTGTGCAGGCGTTTAAGCTCCCCTGACCCACCCCCCCCTATACACCCCATATTCCGAGTGGTCCCAACGACCGGATACCTAACAATTATGTGATCATTGAGAATTCCATATCCGGTCCCAAGATGAACTTAGCCCCGGATAACCCATGAGGTTATTTTCCCTTTCCCGAAGCATTTGTTTGCGTTTTTATGATTGAAAACTGATTTATATATAAACAGCATAATATTTATTGTGATGTATTTGGCATGACTACGAATCACTGAAAACGAGCTTGTTCGCCACTCCTTGTTCTATTTGAAAATGTGCTCTGTGGGAGTGTTTAGACAATCAAGAGTCAGTTTATTTCTTTCATCAAACAACTCGTCTGTTTGGGGATAGACTCATTCGCGTGACTTTTTGGTTAGTGTTTTAAAACGCAAAATAAAGCAACCCAAGCATGTATTTTATCATAGAATTATGCATTCGAAACAGTTGTGACAAATATTAACAGGTTCAAGTCGATTTCTCAAAGTTTAAGAAACAATATTAGTCATTGGATCCATTCAAATCGTAGGGTAGATCTTTCTCCAGACCGCATTATTCTAAGCATGCTGTTTTGTATTCGAACCCCTTCGCTCTCTGCTACTCATAATGTTACGCGTACCGGTGATCAATATATTACATATATGCATATATACCAAATACTGTCACATAAATTCGCCGGTGATCACAACTCTGCCTAATCAGTGTTTGGAAAAGGGAACTGTACCTGATTGTTGGAAATCTGCCTCCATCAACCTAGTTCTTCAATCTTCTGTCCCATTGCGTGTACATATGTTGTGTTGAAGATCTTCGAGAAGTTAGTCCTTCAAGGAGTGTGAACAAAGCCCGATTCGCAGGGCCCTAATCAATTTGCGTACAACTGCTCTCTTCCACACCAGTTATCCTAGCCTCTTTGGCTCACTATATTCTATCAATGTTCTAATCAATATTCTTAATAGAAATATGAAAGTTATCAGAAAGTTTTCTTGGATTACAACAACGCCTTCAATCGTGTTCGTAGATTTAAGTAGTTGAAGATTTTGTCTTCTATTGAGATATCATATAAGTTCTTCGCGATACTCACAGACCATTTCAAAAATTGAATACAGTGCTTACGTTAACTTGGATGGGCCTCCTCCCCCGTTATCTGTACGCTACACATACTACAGGATACCATTCCGACCCTGTTTTCCCCTTCCACTTATATCTGATCCATGCCTTATTGAGCAGGCAAACATTGCTGTGGTCGGAATCGCTTATACTGATGGAACTGTCCCTCTGTTTCTTTAACTTGATATTTCTGACCATACTGAGTGGTCCCCTGAACAAATCTTCACTCTCAGTACTTCTCAATTCGTAAACATGCTTTCCTACTTCTCAGAGGGCATCGTTATGCAAATCTCTTAGAATCATGTCCCCCGATAAACATACGAGATGACACCATTTTCCAACCCGTACTTATGCTAGTCTAAACAATTAATTTCTGTATTAGGAAAAGTACGAAAATTATAATTTTGTTCCACACATGACAGCTTTTTGCTTGTAAATTTTCCTTTTGGGCTGTATGGGTCCTCTGGGCTTCCAAAGATGCTCACAAAATACTTTAGGTTGATCTCCAGATTCTTAACACCTCGATCTAGAAGTAGCGGGATTCCCATTTCCCCATTTTACCACATACAAAGAGATGTCTTTTGCTATCCACAATAATTTTAGTTCAGTTTTATTTTGTTCAACCATTAGCCGTACACTTTCGTGCGCTGGTTTTGATTTCTGTATTTTGGCTTCCTATTTGCAGGAAGCAGTGAAAGATAGGGAAATTGGAAGTAGAATCAAAGAGAAACTAGAGATTTTCAGTGAAAGAAGGCTGCAAGGAAATCGAGAAGATGCACGAACGCCACTTTTTACAACATCCAGACAAATCATACAGTGTCTTTAATCATCGGTTACAATCATCCCTAGGTCCCCAAACAGGGTGGTTACTAGACCTATGTGACCGAGTTTCCTGTTTAGGGTTTCCATACCCTCTTGCCAGGTCTTATTTCAACCACCCTTGGCTCGTTTCAACCTACTACTTGTCTCGGCAAAAATCCCGTGCCGTGGCAACGTATTTGGTGACTGGGGTAACACATGCCCCAAGCAACGTAATCTATGGAGGTCGACAACTTGTTCCTTTTGGCCGGCGCGTTTACCTAAAACTCTGCCCCTAACCTCAGCAATGCATTTCAGGGTACCCCACTAGATTCGTGCAACACTACGTAGAGATCGATGTCCAAATGCCGACAGTCTATATTTATATTATATCTATATTAATATGTATACATATAATTGAGCATATATATTGTTTTATATTTATTAATGGCCCAGTCGCTGCACCGTATACATAACTGGCCAAACTGCTGCAGCATACACTCGACCCTTCACGACAGCCGGATGTGGCGGCGGAACCACAAATGTCTCAAGTTGGTAAAGACCCTTCGAGCCTTCTGTATGCGAGTTGACACTTCGTCCGTGATGTGTCCACCGTATGAACAACCTTTCGTATCCATTACACGCGGATCTTATGAAACGTATCTCCATAACTGACCCCACCATAAATGTATACTTTCTCGCACATCCATCTACCGATCATCTGCGTAGCGTTATCTTCCCGATTTCTTGGTAACCCGGAACTCATCGCTTCTGAACTAAACTCAGTCATATCGTAAATTGTTTTCCTATACTAGCTTTCCGAAATTCCGGCTGAGATTTGCGTACTTACTGGTTCTCTTTTGACCATATAACTGTTCAATATTCACCGCTCGGAGTGCATAAAGCATAAACTTGACTTAACTAAACATATTTTGATAAACGCCCAAGGATAAACGTATCATCAATATTGAGCCGGAGGATCAACACAAAGACCACTGACTCATTTCATTTTTGGCGAATTTTCAAATAGCAAAGAACAGCACGAAACAAAGTGTAAATTATATCAGTGAAGTTCATTTTGATTAGTTCATCAAGACAGTATTGATCGACCTCAACCTGGTTTAATAATCGCCACTCTTTCAATATATTACGATATTGGCGCGAATTGAACAGTGCACCGCTTGTTTTTTCAAGGCAGTCGTGTGACAAATGACAACCAATTATAAGAGGATGTAACCCCAAGAATCTCAGTAGTTCGATTTGCGCAAGACACCTCTGCCGTTCACGTCACGTTTCATTAATGCTGAGGAGTTGCTTATTCTTTGTCAGACTGCAGACATTCGCACCCCGTAGTTGTGATATAGTTTGCAAAAAGAGGATATCAGTAAGCTGTATATTTCTGTCTAAAGAGAGAATGAACGATTAGGCAAAGCTGAGGTCATTCATCGTGTATTTTGCGTGTCTCAATGAAATGTCTGATCTAATTGATAATCTACCACACAAGGTTCCATTTCCAGCTTAAGCTCCAAAGGGAAGAGATAGAGGAAGACCAAGAATCAACCGGATGACATGTTATACACGGTTCGGGCAGAGTAAAAAGATTTTATCTCACAAACTGGTTGATTGGATACAAAGAGGAACTCGACGAAAAACTAGCAGCACTGGTACTTATGTTATTATCATTTCTTGACTCAAACATAATGCATGGGGTCAGAGTTGTTCCGTTCTCCGGTCCCAAACCAGCAACAACATGCATATTTGAACATCTCTCGAGCCTGGCAAAATTTCCATATTAAAACTTCTATACTGCATTTCACGATACAATAAAATAAAACACCTTTTCAAGTTTACTACCCTCAGAAATAAAAGTACCTCTAAGTAGTATACCAAAAGTTTGTAATTATATTTCTTCAATTTAAACCACTTAATCGGTAATATTCTAGGATTTTCTTCGCGGTTTCAGTCAGTGGCGAATATTAAAAAAGCTTGTAATTAACGAAGTTGAATCACAAGGTTACAAAACCATTAGACTTTACTTTTTATGTTTGTGTTTGCGTGTTCTCCTAGTCAGAAGTGTTTTTAGCAGAGACTTCGTAGCCAGTCTAGGCAGCTTTTACGAAGTTGCACTGACAGTGTTGCCTAGCCTGGCTACGAAATATCTGCAAACAACACTTTCAGCTCGGAGAACACATCATCGCCGACATCCACCTTCGGAGCTACAATCATACCAAGTTATTTCCAATAGATTTGTAGTAAAGCACAACCTCCAGAGAGCAGCTTACAAATGTTTCGGTTTTGAAGGTAAAAGGTTAGGGCAATCGGTCATCTCAGAAGTTTATTCCCAGGTTTTATATATGCTACGCAAACTTATCCCGTTCCAATCACCTGTCACTATTTTCGCCAATCTCACTGAAGAAAAAACGAAGATAAAAAACAAAATGAATTCGGTGGACTTACCAAAACACGCAAGCATCAGCCGTGGACCGAAGTCGCGTGCGGGATTCAATGCGCAGCCCGCATTTAGGGCATATGCCTGTACTAATGCGCACACGAGCACTCCAAACATAAGCGGATGCAAATAATCGGGCATGGCCCAAGTGTTTTTCTCCACAATAGCTAAAGCTCCGGCAGTCAGGAGTGCTGTACCCGCAATTTGATCCACTAAGCAATTCATATGAGATACCCATGGATTGGTCACAAATATGTTCCCGGTTGTGTTCACCAGCCACAAACCATCGTTATGCTCATCCGCGAACTGACGAATGTTTTCTAAATTCAATAGTAATACGACACTTGCACCGACAAACGCACCAATTGTTTGGCTTAATGTGTACCAAGGAACTCGCTTCCATGGCAGACGACCGATCAGAGCAAATGCCAACGAGATGGCCGGATTGATGTTACCTGAACCGTTACCGCCGGCAAAAAATACCCCCAGCGTCACAGCCCAACCCCAATTCCAGCTGATGGAGTTCATATTACCATGCTTCATTTTCCCATGGTCACCCAACGTGACCTGTGCAATGACCCCACAACCAAAAATGATCATGATAGCCGTTCCACAAAATTCTGCTATGCAGGCTCGAATTAAGGTGTTTGAGGTCAGACGAATTTTATCCAGTTTACGCGATACTGTTACATAATTATCCCGCATTGGGTCAAACGTTGTATGATATCAACTGTAGATGCGACGATGAAAATCCCTCAGGGGCTGAACTCGTATTGGACTCGTTTCGGTATGGTAAGGTTTATCAATTGAGTCAGCTGATCCCAATTCGTTTTGAATGTATTAACTGATCGATCGGTACAGCTGCAGCTACATTCTTGTCAAAGCCGATAAAAACTAGTCTTTATTTGTACCATTAGGCAAAACAGCACATTGTCTTTCCGAATCAAGGTACCAGTATTAAACAATGATCAGATATTCAGCAACTGGAAGATTTTTTTTTCAATGGGATGTGAATGTTCCTGTGCAAGCACTGATGTCAATAATTCGGAGATATTTGCAAACTACTGTGAATGGAAAAGAAAGATGCGAATATTGTTTTTGGGTTATTCTATGCAGCGTTCGCAAAATTGGCCATTTCGGACGAACTGTAAATGTAAAAGGGGATATTCACCGTCTGGTATCTGTCGGCATCCAAGGGGCTAACCAAAACAGCAATGTAAATGCATACAAATGTCCCAGTGAGGTTTTGCCGTCGACTATGTTCCTTCAGTGTAGGGTTTCAGCTTCCAATTCGAGCTCTATAAGGGGCACAAAATTATACAGTCCAGTGTTTCCGGTGGAAACTTATCCTCCATTCAGGTATTTTAGCCTTTGCTCATGATGCTTAACCGTGTGACCAAGTCGATTACAGGTTACAAGAAACCTAAATCCCAACAATCAGAATGTCATCGTAGTCTGTTAGAAAGAGTGCTTATGAAGTACTTCATAATCGACAAACGGAACCACTGCCGACAAAGTTATCAAAAACCACAGATCAGGACAAGCCCTAAATGCAAAACTAAATCGCAGTTTGTTTATTGTCAATAAGCGTTCAAACACATGAGAAAATGGAGGCCATGAACATTTGAGGAGTAGTAAACTACAGAAAAAATATCACCGAACAAGAGAAATCATGGGGGAAAATATCAGCTCAACCACCGTCCCACTTGGTTCAGTTATTGAAAGCATGCAGAATGCAGAAGAATTCGTTGTTTCTATATATTGCCTTCAATTAATTTAAATCGATGAGGTCCAATTGAAATCGTGAGAACTCAGTATTCCAAAATAATATTGTGGAATGGAAGAAAAGGAAAAAGAGAAGTCTCGAGGTCCTTGTGATGTGATTATATTGATTCTTTGACAGCCTGGTTTTAATAATGAGCATAGTGGTGTCATAAGTTTTCTGAAGTAACGTGGGATGTTCGAATTTCAAGTAAAACGGTTGACTTCAAACTTATCCACCTAACCCGGAAAGATAACCTGGAACAGTTACATGAAAGTCTCTCAATAACAGTGAGATAGAAGAGTCCGTTAGGAAGTCATTATAGAAATTTAAATAAATTTCTTTATTTATGGGTTCATCATAAATTCGTTCAAGCACTGTTCACGAAAATCAAGCACTCGAATTGCGTAATGCTTCAGAATTTGTCAGTTAAGTCCACGGTGATGGGATAAAGCTGCAAGCGAGTCTATTTGGTGGGGGGTAAATAGTTATTTCATTATTAACATTAAAACAGAACAGATGAAAAAATTACCGCACCAGGGGCAAGTAACAATGTTCTGTCTTTTGCAATTCAGGTAGTCCCAGTATCAAATCGACATGTCCTACTATCATTTCAAGTTGTTTGAGTGGTATTTCAAACATTCTGATTTAACATATTAAAGTTGCCAAGTCCACTCATTTTTCAAGCCTAACAACGAAGACTAGACGATAAGAATTCAGCAATGATTTCTCGATCTCTGGATGAAGCACCGGGGATGGGAGTAGCAAGAGGGTTTGCCACCTAACCAGGTCACAAATGTCCCCAAATTCCATGCCATATCTCGACCTTTTACATGCACGTAGGAGTACCTATCTGTATGTGTGTACCCTCTACCCTAATACACGTGGACCATGCTCCATCGCCGTACACCTCATCTTTAAACAGATTCACATCCAGTTGATGTCCTGTTTGCAGAATACAGTCTATCACTATGTCATCCCCGAAGAAGCGCCTACAGAATTTCTACCCTTCAAGTACCGGTCGATCAAAATGATTCTATATCCGGAACGAAAAAAGCCATGGCCATTACACAGGTGAGTGAAAAAGTAAAAATACCGCTGAGTTGTTTTTAAATGTAGTTACATTGAGCTTGTTGCAGAACTGGTGGCTCTTTTCTCTAACGTTTGGAACTCTAAGCGGATGACCTGCTCATGGAGACAGTCGATTTTCGTCCCCATAAATATAAAGAACTGAAGCAGTTATTACATCGCCCACAGGGGCATAGAACTGAGCTGAATTGGGTTAAAGATGTCAGCACCCGGCATTCGCCGGCGATTGTACAATGCAGTTGATGAGCTGGCTGGGTTTTACCCTGGTCGTTGATGAACTGTCATGCTCGTCACAGACCGATGATTACTGTGTTCTCAGACATTCACGTTGCCATCTACTCCATGGATTAAACCTTATCATGAGAATTTTATGAACCCTTCTTGCCAATGAGGGTGTTCTACAGAATGTTTTATCTGATCTGCTGTGAGATGGAGTTAAGTCTCTCCCATGGAGCCGAATGTTTGATATTACGTTAGTTAGTTCTGGTCTCTCCAATCTGAGGATGATGATCGATTTTCTGTATGCAATCACCGATGTCTTCAAAACATTGCTCGTGCTTGGTGTGGATATCGAGTTTGTAATGACGTGATTCGTCGTCTTCAGTTAGATGCGGATATCCGTTCTCTAAGAGAAGTAATCACTCTACACCGCCTCCGATGTTTTGGTCACGTTTAACGAATCCCTATCCATAGTTCACATTTTGTGCTCTCTTTGCGCAAGGCTGGAAGAAGCGTTGCTGCTGTCGGGTCATAACCTAACGTAACGGTATTAGAAAGCTAGCTTCTGCATTGGCTTCCGTTGGGGCAGTACCCTTATAGATTGGCCAAGAGGTACGAAGATTGTCGTTGATCACGGAGAGATACAGCCCAGAACAGAAGTCAGTCGCGAATGTTGTACGGTTTGGCTGCTGGAATCTCGAGCATCAAAAACGAGATAAACTAACAAACCTAAAATACAAAAAGTGTACGATGAAACCAACACAAAAACGTTCTTATTCTTGTTCTCTAATTACAATTGAGCTGTTTACTTTCCATGTAACTCTTTAGTGTACCCCTATCCAGTCTTACTAGTTTTGTTGAGCTGACATTATACTTGCTCACAAGTCAGTTGTCATATATATGCATATATATCTCGAAAATTTGCCACGTGACTCGCAATTAGGAAACACACTTCAATTTTTAGTATCATACCTGAATATCTATAGGAAAGAGTGAAGAGCATTTTGTAGCATACAGAATAGTACGAATCGCAGCCGTATTTGAAGCATGGAATCGCACGAACAGTCGTAGCCTGAACTCTCCCGACACTGAGATACAGTTAAAAGGTCACAAGAAGAGCTCCATTTATTAAGAATAATCAACGTGAATAACTAGGATATAAATGGAAATTTTGTTGGCCAAACGAGGATCAATCTATCGTCGTTATTATGATAAAATACACTTCCTGGGTACAAGCATATGAATGAACTGACAAAAGATTACCGGATACGCATGCCTGACGAGCCGCAAGAACCGCGAAACCGGTCGTTTGCTTCCCGGGAAATTTTGTCCAGTCATTCACATACTACTTACTCTTAAATATATGTATATATGCCTAGTCGAAAAAAGTCTATCCTTACTTTTTGATCTAAACTAGACATCAGACTTCAATCAAATGAAGGAATGAGATTAGAGTCTTGCCTTTTATGTTTGTGTGCATAAGTCCACCAACTGTCACAGGTTTCGGGAGTCCGACCCACTGTTTGTCTATCTCAACGTGTCGATTGTACGCAGTGATCGAGTGTAGAGCTTCTAGAATTAACCGCAATATCGCACGCGATCTGGTGACTTTATCGGTGCGCGGCGACTTCCGATTCTTGATCTCGGGTTAGCGCCTCGGAGGGCAGACTTGAGTTCGTGTAGCCGAGTGCTTATTGGTTTGTCTGTCACCTATGCAGTATTGATTGCAGCCTAGACATGGGATTGCTTTTTCATGCTGTTTCGCTCGGTCCGTACCGTTGAAAAGAAACGATCTCACCGTTGCTACTGGTTTGTGACAATCATGATTCCCAACAGTTGGAGTGTGGTTTCGGTGACTTTTGACCTCACCGCAGATATTCGAAGCCATCTTCTTTGTTTCCTATTTTGCATGTGTTGGTTGTTTTTCTACCTTCAACGCAGTCGGTAGCCAAATCGCGTTGTGTGCGTTAGATAAGATCGGTCGCTTTTTTTTACTCGCACTTAGCTCCGGTGTATCGCGATGGGTGTTCGTTGGGTGGAATAGAGTTCGCACACTGTTTCAGGTGGCACTGGGGATGGTTGTTTGTGTAATTGAAAATGCGATCTATTGGGGTTAGTCTTCGATAGACTGTGGTTTCCATTATTGTCTGTTAGTCTTATAAGAACCAGATTTGAAAAGGAAAGCCGGTCATCTTTCTCCTTCACTCACGTGCATGTATTGCCAAACACCCGTCTTTTAATGATTTGCTGAAACTGGTCTAAAGTGGAGGTTCCGAGTATAACGAACGTGCCGTTCACATACCAAATCCACAGAAGGGGGGTAAGATTTCGAATGAATTGGCATCAAAATTCTTCATCTGCAAGCAGACCTGAAAGTGGCGAACCCATGTGACTTCTACGTATCTGCTGGTGCAGCTTCCCGTCCAATAGGAAATGTTTCTGCACAGAACTACAGCTTCAGTAATTCATCCACTATATCGTCAGTCTTGAGTGTAGATTTCGGTTATTTTCCAACAGGCGTCAAAACATTTCAATGGCCATTCATTTCGGANGGAACAATAATGAACAATGAGTTTACGTCAAAAGAGACCATCACTTAGTTTGACCGTCAGGTCTTCGGTTTTTCTGAAAATGC